TTTATATTTTATCTAGGCATTAAAAGTAATATATTATTGTTATTTAAGGGGGCAGCTTTCCAATTAAAAATTTATTCAAAGAATATCACATTAAAACCACACTATTTTGAATATAAACAAAATAATATGAAACGCACTTTTCTTTAAAGTTAGAATATTTAAAGGGGAAAATGTTGGTTTGTGCTAAAAGAATAGCAATAATCAACATTAAGCCATTTGAGTAAACACTTGGGTAATAAAACTAGTTCATAACATACTTTTTATTACTAAGCAGAGAAGTCTAATTTCTTTTTTTTTTGCAAAGCACTTGATCATATGAAGTGTACAAAACTGTAATTTACAAATAGCAACGTAAAATAACTGCGTATTTATTTTTAAAGGTAAATACCCAGAGTATTTAATATATAGGAATATTTATTTTCCACTTGAGGTTTAAATTCCACTCATGAAATGCTCTATCTCATTCACAAAATACATGAAGTGGAGAGCAAATAAATACTCTATAATAAATGCCCAGGCATTATTATCTATAATGATTGCTCTATAATAAATTGAAGCTTTGAAACAGCAATTGAGACGTTAGTAGAGGAAGGTGGAGGCTCAGATGAAACAAATTTTAAGACTTTTAAGGAACTTTAAAAGACAAAATGAATACTAAAACCTTTTTAAGGCACATAGAAATCCTGGAAAGTACTAGATTTAAATGTCAACACTTAGAAAATACAATGAGTAAATATATAATTACTTGCTGCTTTTTAGCAGGGTTTGAAAAAACCCAACCCGCCTGGGTTTTATTAAAAACACCCGGGGAAAATAGGGTTTTTTCATTTAGTGCTCATAAGCTTTAAGTTTTACTATGTAAATATTTTTATTTATTAAAAAGTGTCGCACAAGCTTAAAAGTAGAAATAAATCCAAGAAGTTATTTCAATTTTGTTATATATATTTTATGTTAAGTTTAAATACCGCATTATCAGTAATATATGTTTGAATCTTCTTTAGTGTTAAGTACATAATGTTTCACAATTTTTAACTCAAGCATTGTAAAATATAAATGCAGTAATATAAAAGGAACAAGTTTATTAATCTTTTGGTTTTTACATACATTCATTTACTATATTTATTAAACATACACACACACACACACATATATATATATATATATATATATATANGTCCCATTTGTTTTCAAATAATTAACCCTAGAAAAGGATTTCATTTTTAGATAAATAATTTTAAAAAGTTCTCCTATAAAAAGTTTTAGCTTTTTTTTTTCTTAAGCTAGAAAATAAAACTGTTTAAATTTGTTAATGTATCACTTGGTAAAAAAAGAAAAAAATTGTTTCTTTTCAATTTTTTTAAATATATGAATTAATAATTATAACCTGTTTATTAATATATAAAGCATGCAACTATATTTGAAAAATTGATCTTTTCAGACTGCATTATTTCTTTCTATTTGATTTAATATCATTTTCAACAGTAGACTAATTGCTAAAATAAAATCTATTACTCAGTTTGAAGAATGTTTAAACACGTACAGCTCTAATTCAACGAAGTTCGATTTTGTTTTGGTTGTACCAATATGGCGCAGTGGTTGCGGATAAGGCTTCACGAGTTTACGGACATGCCGTCTCCTTCTATTTATTACTCTATGGTTGGGCTAGCTACCAAAGCAGGGGAGCCATCCCCTCTGCAGAGAATTATAATTGCGATGGTATGTCTTCGGATCAATCCCAGGTATGTTTCCCAGACTGTCGCCAATAGCCCATTATGCAGCTCTAGTGCGACGTAAATAAAGTACCTACCTACCTATCCGTCCTCACAAACACAATATTTAAAAAAATGTCGAAAATAAAACTGATTTATGATTTTATTGGATAAATATTTTCTTTTGTTGAATACAATTTCGGTTTGTAAAAATGATCAGCATGATTTCAGATCCAAATATTGACATTTAAATTATTAATATAATTATGTTGATATGAGAAATGTATTTTGACCTTGATAACGCATCAAAATAAACAAATATGGTGATAAATATTTGGGTGAAAATAAAGAACATAACAAAGAGTTCAGTCTGGAAACACGAAGTCTCTACTTATATAGAATTACTTATACTTCTATAGTTGCCGACATCTTGTGATATTTTAATAAAATTAGCTAAGTGGTTTAAGTATTGAGTAATCTGCTTAAAGTAATGCTAAATTTTAAAAGTGCCTTAAAATCGATAAACATTTCTATTTTAGAATATACACTGGGTAAATCCGACTGTCAAATTATTCTGAATTTGAAGTGTTTATGAAGAATTTTAATCTAAATAATGGATCTAGTGTTGATCATGGCAAGTTTATGAATCGTTGTAAAATGGTCTGGCTTTTTAAAAGGGCGAGATTATATTAGAATTCTTAATTTTTTTTCTTATTCCGAAAGTAAGATACAACTCAAAATACATGTTTAGGAAATGGACATAACTTGAATGACTTGATTTAAAATATGGGTGCTGCATGAAGATGCGTTGATCATAACGTTTGAATCTGATGTAATAAAGTATAATAAGTACAATTGTAATAAAGATTCCAAATAATTAAGAAAAACGGGAGAAACATTAAAATGCATGTTTAAGGAAATGGACGTAACGTTTGATTCCGACAGAATTTAATAATAAATCCAAATAAATTCGTAATGCATAAATCACTTCTTACAATACTTTTAATTTAAGTCTTTGTTCAAATGAGTTAACAATTGTTTTTTAGATCTTTTCCCGTGGACAAGATTCTTCTCTACTTTTCTAAAAAATGGCCATTTTTAGTGTCTGGTGGCATTTTGGGTAAAAGTAGGCCAAGTAAGCAATTTTTACGTATACGAACCTGTTGAATTCCAATGTCTCTCAAAAATTGACGTGAAGTTTAGAATTCAAAATGAGATGGCTAATATTCCGGACACATTCCCTCAATATTACAATATTTTGTCATCCTATGCCTATTTTTTTTCTTCAAAAGGAATTTCTAGGGTTATTGTAAAACTCAATGGTACTTTTATTTTGTAAAATACTCTATAACACACAGATAAGTTTGCAAAGGCAAAAAACATTTCTATTTTTTTTCCCTTCCTAAAAAAAAAAACTAAAACATGTTGGTTAATTTGCTTATTCTGCTGAAGCAATATAAAAAGATATTGCGAGCTTTTTACCAGTTGACTTTATGATCTGAGCAAAGGTAAGTGCATTAATTTTGAAAATGCAGAGAGGAGGCTAACCGAACTACCATGACCTCAAATTACTCCCTGACAAACTCGATGAAAAAAAGCAACTGAAAATTGAGTTAAATCCAAAACAAATTAGCTAACGTGCATAATTTGCCAGGATGATGAGAAAATGGAATCCCTGGGTCTTGTATAGTCTAAATCTACTGGATTAACTAAACAAATCTAACATTTCTCGATCATAAAATCAATTTGAGAGCTGAAAAACTTTAGTTTTAAGAGTTTGAAGTTAAAAGTGAGTTGGTAAATAACACAACAGCAAAAAATTAATTTAATTTAAATTCGTCTTTGCGCAGCGCGCGGAGCAAAGTGTGATATATAGTTATTTAGAGTTATAGTTTTATTTACGTCGCACACTATACTTGCATAATTTAACCTATTGGCGACCGTCACAATTTTGATCCTCTGCAGAAGAGATGGCACCCCCGCTTCAGTAGCCAGACGACCTGCGCGCGAACTTTAAGGTAGAACAATGTAACAAGGCCCGATACAGCGCACCCTCGGTCCCTACGTAGGTTGATCAAAGTGGTCACCCACCCGCTTACTGACCGCAGCAAGTGATGCTTGACTTCGGTGTTCTACTGGGAACCATGTCTTAAAGATCAGTCCACTGCGGAACGGTGCCAAGTGTGCATCTAGGGGTGTATGCATACACGCAAACTTCTTTTTATTTAAATGAAAGATATATTTTTTAAAATTTCAAATGGTAGAGAGTTTCTTGTTTTGTCATTTAAATTGGGAATCAATAAGTTTGATTTACAGTGAATATGATCACCACTATATGCAAGGTCAGTGAAATCACAAGCATGAAAGTTTCATTTTACATAATGTAAACAGCTAGGACTGCGTAATTTTAATTACTATTCTGACGTTCTATATATTGAGATATTAAATAAATAATGGATGCAAATATTTTTTTCTCTCTTTAATAATGCATAATAAATTGGAATCAATCATGCTTATAACTACAGATTAACTTGTAAATAACTGTAGATATTAAATGTTAGAGTGTCGTCAATTTACTTTGTATTTATGCATCCAAAATCGCATACTGTTGGAAGACTAAGCACTTTCCCTTACATACAAACAATTCCAACAAACAAATGAGATCTGGTAATTGTACAGTTAAATTCTTAAGTGCATGCAAAATTAAACAAATTAAGTATACCTTAACAATTATTCCACAACGACTTTAAATATTGTGGGGAGCTAGAGTTTTCGATTTGCGATTTTCCAATCCAGAGACTTTTAACGACCCGCTTTTCGGCATTTTCTTAATTCGGCATTCTCTTTCTTCGGTATTTAGGTAGGTAAGTATTTTATTTACGTCACACTAGAGCTGCACAATGGGCTATTGGCGACTGTCTGGCAATCATCCCTGAGGATGATCCAAAGACATGCCATCGCAATTTTGATCCTCTACAGAGAGATCTTTTGATCCTCTTAAATGAAAAAAAAAAATTTTCTTCCCTTAAATGAAGAAAAAAAAATAAATAAATAAAAACCTTGATTCTTGACTTTTTTTCTTAGTTTAGGTAACAAATTTTATAAGAAATAACAGCTTATAATTGGAACCAACTACAGCCAAAAGTAAAATCTCAAAAAAAAAANAAAAAAAAAAAAAAAAAAAGTTAGTTGTTGAGAACCGTTTTTTTTATCAGCAGGTTCACTTGAAAGCGGTTAGTTAATAAATATGATCTTTATTTTTTGATATTGACAATAAAAAAACACACTTGCTATTCTTATAATAAAAATCTTTATTGAAACATCACTAGCGAAAATTCCAATATGATCATAATCAGATAAATACGGAATACTGAAATAGCACGAATGAACACAAATATCGTAATACTATCGATACCTATAACCCAAAGAGCGATACTTTTGTCTCCGATTTAACCACTCTGACTGGAATCTATCGCTTATAAATCAATCATCGTCATCATCATATTCCGATTTCAATAATCCTAAATTTCTAGCCACAGTTTTGCACTTAATGACTACTTCTTCTTGCACTAGGTTGAAAGACATGGCTATGATGGCCAGCCCCATAATGAGGTAAAGACAGCAAATTATAAGTTTGGCTTGGCCACTCTCGGCGTCGAAAATGTCTGACCCTGGAACCAAATCGCCGAATCCGATGGTACTTAAGGTTATGAAGCAGAAGTAAGCCCCATTTAAAAATGTCCACTTCTCCCAAAGAGAGAATAGCACGGCACCACCACATATGTAGCCAGTAACCAAAAGTAAGACTGGCAGCATGGGGACTCTCTGCTCAGATGCACCTATGGAATCATGGTAAACTCGTTCGACGACGACTGGAGAAGGTTCAGCGACGACCACTGTGTTGTTTGACATGGATGATTTCGCAGGAGAGGATGACATGTGCGAGATGTTGTCTCCCACAGGTGTTTTTTCTTCTCCGTTGCAAAGTTCCAGAGTGGCTATCTCCACAACCTTTGGCACTGGTCCTAAAAAACGTTATTTAATACTGTTAACATTACATGCAATTAATAATAATAAAACAAATTTATAAGTAAAATTTCTACATGGATGTTTGGAAACTCACTGCTTTACTATTCCAATTTAATCTTCTGAGAATAGAAATTATTATAGGTGTGATTCTGCTCAGGAAACTAGTGATTTTTTCTCATTAGTTTTTTGAAATTAGTTACAAAAGTTCGAAATAGATGGCGCTGCGACATCGTTTTCAAAATGTCAACAGCTTGCAGCAACAACATTGTGCATACTGTGATCAATATAAACAGATGCTCCTGCAAATATTTCGGTTCTAAAAGCTGAAAACATTGTGGATAGTTAAGCCAGCAAAGCCAATTGTTGAAGAATTTTAATTAAATCTGAAACTAGGTGACAATAAAACTTGTTTCCTAGCAGAGTACAGAAAACCATAAATTTTGTCTCCCTTTTTTGCTTTAGGTGATTTTTAAAATTGTCAGTCATTTTTGAGACACCCGTTATATTGTATATATATTTAGTCGTTAAAATCACAATAGAACAACACTAACAACATCAGACAGTATGTAGAATGATACATTGTAGGATAAGGATTGAACATAATATCTAGATATATACAGAGACTTATCAAAACAATAGAAACACTTTTATACTAACTCTAAACAATTTTACTTTTTGCAACAAATATTTTAAAAGAGTTTACCTGACAAAACTTGAAAGCAAATCTGGTATAATTTGAAAGATTGGATGAAATGATGGTCTTTTCATCCAAACAAAATTTGCATTGACCAAAATGATCGTTAAAAGTTTTTTTTCTTTTTAAATATTTACTGTAACTTCAAAAGCATTCTTATATAAATATCGCAATTCTATTACATGATTTCAAAGTAGCTGGTATTTTAAAGCTAGAAGAAATTATTAACTTAATCATTTTGGTCGATCCGAATTTTACATGAAGGAAAATGATTCTATTTCTAAAAGCTTCAAGCATAATCTTTCAAATTGTGCTAGCAGTTGTTTTTTTACCTTTCGAAACATTTGCTGCTGACAAAAAAATTGTTTAAATAGAGATAGTTTGGAGCAATTTCATTATATTAATCGACATGATACAGAAGAATATCCATTTAAAATAAATTTTGCATGATTTTGCACAAAATAAATTTAAATTTATCATGAGAATCGGAGCCTTTATAAGGTGCTCGAGGCATGATAATTTAAATTTAATATAGTTACTTTCTCGTGTACTTATACCTTCGAGGGATTGTAAAAAACTTATTTCCTCAGCATCCCAAAAATGTACAGAAATGGTGCTGCTGCAATAAGCACCAAATTTACTTATAAGATACTTTGTATCTATTTCAGATATTTTGTACCCATTAAAACTGCACCAATTACCATGATGCCAGTAGTGCCATTGGTGACAATTACAGTATGGTGATTTTTAATAATTTCCTATAAGTAATAAGCGCATTTAATCCTTCAATTTCGCCGTTTAGTTCGTAGCTTATTATTTTTTCAAATTTCAATTAGTACCTATTGGTTTGATCCTCTCCGGCCGAAGACTCCCCGTGTAGTAAATGATGACTGATGCACGTTACATCTGTTGAGTCTCAAAGTCTTCCATGTTCCCATAACAAATCATAACTCTGGGGGTACTGATCCAGGAATTTCCTTGTCTTCTGGATTGGTTCAAAATTACAAGGCTACGGAGTTGAACATTAGTAGTCGTGAACCCAAAAATTGGGTCGGCTGTTCAACAACGGTTATGAAATAAAATTAAATTAGTACCTATTGAGCCGTGATGGCTCAGGAGATAGAGCGTTCGCTTCCAATGAGGTGACCAGGTTAGAATCCTAGCAATGGCTGGTCGATACGAATTCCGCACCCGACTCACACTGGCCATGGTGCTGACATAAAATATTCTGCGTGGTAGACGGATCATGGGTTAGAGTCACTTTGCCGTCAGGCAAACTGTGAGAGGTTTTCATGATTTTCCTCACCATTTAACGCAAATGCGGGTTTGTTCCGTCAAAAAGTCCCTCATAAAGCTAAATTTCGCCCACTATTTGATCCAAGAGTTCTCTTGTCTTCTGGATTGGGTTTAAGATACTGAGTTATACACTAGTAGTCGTAAATCCAAAAATTAGATCTGCTGTTCAACGACGGTTATAAAATTGAAATTAGTACCAATAACCAAAATTAATTAAGCATCATTGACGTCTATAATAGTTTGCTGATTTTTTTTCTTCACTCTCTTAAAAGAATAAGTACCATTTCTTCATTAACTTTGCTTTTCAGAACAAAGCTATTTTTAAAAATTTTAATTACCGTATTTTTTAAAATGTTTAGTTTTATAATAACACGTTTTAAAAACATGATCATAAACAAAATAAACATATGGTTTCAGATAACCTTAGAAATATTACTATGGTGACGTTGAAGCGACATTATGTGAAACACATATTCTGCATTTCTAAATTGTTTTTATTATTATTTATGGACTGTTTGTTTATACTACTTCAACTTTAATTCTCACATTTTAGAATTATATTTTAATGTTGTTCTTTTACTTTATCTTTGCGTATTGCATCTTAAATATTTGATGCCGCATTTAACCTAAACGAGTTTTGTATAAATTGTAAATAAATGTAAATAGTAATTATTTAATGTGTTTATTCTTCAAACCATTCATTTCGCTTTAACGTAATATCCACATATGGTATCACGATCACGCTGATTATTCAGATAACCTGGCTAAACGAATGAAAAATAATAAATTAATGCAGAATTTGCAATTAATAACTTTTTTGATAAAAGCTATCAGCCAGGAGGCATCATTGTTACCTTTAAACTATTTGGCAAAACGGAATCGTCTCTAGATTAATTTAAAACAATGGCTTCCCCTAAATAGTGAGAAAATTATGTTTTTTAAATGTCTCTGTATTTAAAAATCTAATTAAAAATCGAAAATCGGTATTTGCAATTTGTTCACAATTGTACTCATTTAGCTTCATGTTGAATTTCGTTATTTTTAGTGCCTACGTTACACACGCAATTAGGTATACAGACACAAAAAAACTCTCTATTTTATTGTATGTATAGATTAAGCAGTGTAGTTCACCTTTCATTTGTTCCACTTGTTTTTGAGTTGATGAGGCATGATGAGTGCGGCGAGGTTTTCTAAATAAGAAGCATAAGTTAGAGTAGGTGAACTTGAAGGATCTCGCCAAAAGATTGCCAATGTTTGTTAAACACATCAACATCAGAGGAATGCCAAGCAAAGCGTAAAATATTGTCACGACTTTTCCAACATCTGTCTTCGGTGCAATGTTGCCATAACCTGCAATAGATTAGAAAATGTAATTCTTCGATAACCTTAAAATAGCAGTGTTTTTTTTTTAACATCATATCAGTAATCTATGGCATTATCGAAAAAAAATTCTTCGTTTATCATGATGGAAAAATTATTTCAATGATACACGGTATAAATGGTATAATATAAAGTATATGTCTTAATGACATAGTGCAATTGTGTGTTTGACGAATTGTTCTCTAATATTGTAGGCAATGTCACCAGATTTAAGTCATTTTATTTATTTTTATACTCAAGGTGTTTTATAATTTGGCCAAAAAACTATGAGGGGTATTAAAAGGCATTTAAATGATGAAGTCTTACCACTGAACTTGAGTTTCAAACTGCTTTGAGAAGGTGAAAATTGAAAGAAGAAAAAAATCCAAGCAGGATTTGACGTCTCGCTGGAAAATATCGACAAAAAGTACTAAAAGCTTGCTATTTACAAAACTATTTATTTGATTATTTATTACAAAAGTTGAGCTTTGTGGTGCCCATTGACGTCATTGCACTGTCCACAATGATGTAAAAACGATTCCCGGAAGTGCTCAAAGATACGAGGTGTGCTATTGATGTTTGTTGAAGCGACGACAAATCACGCATTTTGTCTACTCTAGATTCAAAGTCTGCATGCGTTTTTTGCTATTTTTACTCTCTCAACATGGTTTGCAATCCCATGTTTATGATAAATTTACATCTCTTTTATCATTTTCTGAATTTTAATCAAAATTTAGAGTGTCCTGTATTCATATTACAACCTCCATGCTAAAACAAAACTATTCAGCTATAGGAAAACTGTTGACAACCAAAATGCTTAAAAAAAAACATTTTATTTTTATTAATACTTCAGTCTACATTCGTGAATAAAGCTGAATATCATTTTACAAAAATAATATATTTATATGTTAGTCGGAATTTCTGTAACTGTAACAGGAAAAATCGAATGATATTTTATAAAACTAAAGCTTTTATGTATTTAACCAATGAATAAATAAAATTACTATTAATGGGTGATGGGGGTCAGAATAATTTTTAATCTAATCCAGTGAATAATAATAAAATATCAAAGCATATTGTTATAATTTTAAACATTTGGAAAAGGTTTCCAGACAAACACTTTAGAAGGGTTAATATCTCGATTCATGCGTTCCCAGGTTATTTTATGTTTTGAAATATAAATTAGTTTGGTTGCACAATATAATTTTTATAAGAAAAACGTATTTTTATATTTATGGCAAATATTGCCAGAAAATGATTTTGTTGCTAATTGTTAAGATTTTACAAGTAAGAAGTTCAAATTTTGAATATTTACGCATCTGAAAGTAATACCAACAGTCAATTGAGGAAGATCATCCCGTTTATTTTTTCACGATGAATAAAATGAAACAAAGTTGATGGGATTAATAATTTAGAAGTTTTAAGTGGTTTTATGCATAAAAAGTCTAGTTTTTGACTAATACCTATTTACGTATTTGACAATGTGTTATGCAGTTAACTAGACAAATACGGTGTTGTTTTTTCGGTAGTCCCTTTTGCGCTTTATCGAAAGAAATTAATATCAAGTTGATGGGACTAATATTTTAAAAGTTGCAAGGGAAGTATAAGAAGTACAATATTAAATGCATACATATTTACGCATAAGATATTGCTAAAGATACAAATGAAATTTTTATGTGCTTTAACTTGCTTACGGATCTAATTAAATCAAAAGCTAATCGATCGAGCTTATACAGTAGAGAAAAAAAAAATTGAAACTTTTAAGGTTTTTCATTTTCGGTGCTTTTTGTCGCTACTTAAGTTTCATTAAAAAAGATATTTGAAGGGAATTAAAACTCTATACTAAAGATACCAGAGGTGATTAAAAATGTAAGAAAAGGTAGAAACTTAATTATTATTATTTATTAACTGACTCTTCAGTTAGTCAATCGTAACAACCACTAGGACTGACCAATCAATACAGTGAATTAATTGAAATATTTTTTCCTTATAGCAGCAAGAGATAGTAAATGATTTACATGCGTTACTGATTTGATGAATCTTTTTGGGTAAAACAGTATATACATTTATATATATATATATTGATATTTTTCATATTTATAGCATTATTTGATCTGAAAAATATTCGTATGCTTGGTATTGGGCTCATAGCATGCCTCTTTCGCCCTATTAATATTAATAATCTTACATCATTTAAACGAAGTAAAAAGTGTTATTTTTATTTATATTCCTTTAATTCAAGTGCTATTTAATATATAATTATATATAGTGCTATTTAATATATAAATTAATATATAACAGTTCCGAACATTCAAGGAAAGTCACAAGAAACTATTTCGGCACAATTAAAATAGCTATTCAAAAAAACAAGTTCATTTTATAAATTAAACACAAATGTTCTTTTTCGGGTTCGTAAAGGGCACTGCTTCAAAGATTTTACACTTTTTCATTTGAGTTGGGAATGAGAAAAAGGACTANAAAGGACTTTTAAATATTCACAAACAGCAATACTCTATTTAATTGTACTAGTATGCATCATTCCGCAAAATATTTCCACTACAATAACTCTTTTGCCATCCAAATAACTTAAACTATAGTTACAGATATTTGATTGGTCCTAAGAACAGTGTTTGTGATTGGCTAGTACGCTTTTATTACAAAACACGTCTTTATTCAAAACGATTTATGTTCGTTTGTTCTACTAAAATAGGCATAACTTTTTTTGTAATACAGATATTTTAATTCTGTTTTTGTTATTAAATTGCACATTAAATTACCTTCAATTTGATATCTGAACTTTTGTATTTAAGTGAACATTTATATATTCTACAAGCACACAAAGTTGAAAAACATGAAACTTTTAAAAAGTGTCCACACTTTTGGCCACCACTGTATATATATATATTTTTTTCTCATATTTATAGTATTATTTGATCTGAAAAATATTCCTATGCATAGTATTGGGCTCATAGCATGCCTCTTTCGTCCTATTAATATTAATAATCTTACATCATTTAAACGAAGTAAAAAGTGTTAATTTTATTTATATTCCTTTAATTCAAGTGCTATTGGTTCCGAAAATTCAAGTAAAGTCACAAGAAACTATTTAGGCACAATTAAAATAGCTTTAAAAAAAAACAAGTTCATTTTATAAATTAAACACAAATGTTCTTTTTCGGGTTCGTAAAGGGCACTGCTTCAAAGATTTTACACTTTTTCATTTGAGTTGGGAATGAGAAAAAGGACTAAATGAGTTAACTTTCAAACACTAGTCCCGCAAATTGGACACTGTCTGTAAGAGCAGTGGCTGACTGCCAGTTACCTAATACGGCACGCCCCATGTACGGCTTGAGATTGTTTTTAAGTGGTAGCTAAATTTTTCAAAATATACATACTTTGAAGTATTCTTATTTGCCAGAAATATTTTTATTTCGTTCATCGTGGTGTAAAAACGTTAAATCTGATTTTACAAAAATAGTTGGAAGTTAGCTTAATGGAATTTTAAGCAGCCCTCTGAGAATTTTTCCAGGTTATGGAAATCCTGTATTTAGTAAATAACTTGGGTCTAGAGAGATTAAATGAACAAAAAAGTTTGTGAAAAGCTGTTTTTACTCAAAAATTTGACTTCCCGTATTTGCTTTATGAAAACACACATAATTAAAAAATGCAAATTATTTTCCCTATACTTTTTCCCATTTTTTTAAAAAAAAATTTGACATTAGATTGTTGCTCACAGATACAGGAAATCAACAACACAGTAGGTCCATTTGGAATTTTCTGCTTCATTACGTGGTATTTGCAGCTGTTATGTTCTGGAACTGCACCAAGTATTTGGCGAGAAAATTCACGAACGATTCACCTTGAAACGTCATGAGCGAATGCATTTGTATTAGTAGTTGGCTTGTTTTGTCATGAAATAAGTAATGGCTCTTTGATTGCAAGAACGTCCCTTTTTTTTTATCCTTTTCCTTGGCTCCACTTTCGTTTGTAGAGAATAAAGATTATCTTAGGTAATCCTTCCCCTCTTTACCCGTCATCTCATCTTTCAAAGAAGACACTTTTTTCCCCCTTTGATTAATTGATAACAAGGCGAAAATAAGTGTTAAATGGCGTACCTTATTGGCGAGATAATTCAAGACATTTGTAATTTCATTTAATGCGAATCTAAATTTTGAGATTCAATTAGTCATTGAAAAATAGTGAGAGTAAAAATAAAAGCTTTTAAAAGTGGCATTTAAAACATTTGGTGAAGGTCATTGTTAAAAAAATTGCGAAAAATAGTATTGAATATTATTTTTATATGCTTGTACTCAGAAGTGCCGAGCTGTTACACTTTTGGAGGGGGAAATTCTTGATTTACACACGTAAATTCATATCTTACAAAAATCATAATCTTTGTGTTGCAGAGGCACCGTCTTTTGGTATATAATATATATTACGATTACCTTGATATATAACTACGCATTATAATTTTATGTAAGCACATTTTATTAGTATGATAATCGTTACATAAGAACATAGGATAACACTGGAGAAAAACTAAATTTAAGTGACGAACTTGTTATACAATAAGATTTAATAAAAATGATAAAAAATGTATGTAACGATAACTTTATGTAGTCACAGCAAATGGGTACTTGCACTTGAAGAAGAAGATCTCGGATACCCACGCATGTGATCTACGTCAGCGTGATATGAAGTCAGCGCCAGGTAATAGTTTTATTTTATTTTATAACCGTCGTTGAACAGCCGACCCAATTTTATGGGTTTACGACTGCTATTGTTCAACTCCGTAGCCTTGCAATTTTGAACCCAATGCAGAAGACAAGCATACCTGCCAACTTTTACGCATTTGGCGTAAAATTTTATTTCTATATTTAAAGTGGTAGTAAAATTTATGCTTTCTATATATTCCTTGCATTTTTAAACTTAATTTATAATATTTTTAATTCACCACTATTTTTAAAATAATTAAGCATATATAAATATGT